CGGTGCTTAGACGCAGGCGATCGCTACGCTGCTTTGGAGGAAACAAATGCGAGCGGAGGACATTGCTCGTGGTGCTGGTGCTGTACCCTCCTTTCGAATCAGTTCTCCCTTCCTGGCAACTTCAGCAATATTGACCTTGAACCCGGGATTTTCTTGAACGTTACCCTGCGCTACCGAGGGATATACGTGGCCCATAGATACATGACAGTTTTTATAACCACCCGGTAAAATGCTGCTGTCCCCAGGAGCAGGGGGAAGACAATAAAAAAATGGTACAGATGCTCCTGTGAACTTCTGTGTAGACCGTACTGCATTTCCTACGTGAATTGCCAACAGAAAACACCAACTTGGCGATAGAGATCTGGATTTGTATCTGTAGGAAATACAGGAAGATCTGTTTAGTCTTCCACGGTGGGTCCACGTCTCTGCTTGCTTTTGTGAAATTGCTTTGATACCACAAGTGGGAAAATATTACAGAAGTACTTTCTTTGAAACTAGCAAAATATTGAGTATTTATAGCATGGTGTTTATAACATAGATGACAAATACATTCTCTCAAAGCCGGTGTTTTCTGCTATATCTGTATAGCCTGTTTCAAAATGCTTATAATGGAGTCATTGATTGTTATAACCTGTGATTTCAGGAGGATAATAGCATTACACTTTGGTTTTAGAAAAGCTTCGGTGATTAGGGACTCTAGACCTGCTAGGCCAAGTTTAAATACCCTTTAGAAACTTCTAAAGGTACTAATGCGGCCCGTATGGATGATGATGATGATACTGTGTCAAAAGATGCCTCTTAGTGCTGTTACGTGAACTTTATGCAAGTGATTAAAAAGAGCCTTTCTAGCCAGAATCCAGTAGGATGGGCATCTGTACTGGCGGTTTCACTGCGATTTTTTTTGTAATTGTACACCTAGCTCTCGGGTTTTCATGTTACAAGGAAATACCTACTCTTCTCCTACTGCAGGCCTGTGTAACCGAGTGTCTCAGCAGCAGCATCCTTGCTAACTCAGATCTGGTTTGTCGACTGTCATGGTCTAGTCATGCATGCAAAGATCTTTAGAAACATCCCTGTGAAATGTTTAAAAAAAACAAAACCAAACACCAACCAAAAAAACCCCAAATTGCTTTATTCGAATGACTGCAATTGAATGTTTCTGTAACATTTGTTTCTCAGGCAGCAGTGGAGTGAGCCGCAGGTTGTCCTCTGTGTCGAGGCAGTCCTGAGGAAGAAAGGAAGGTGTTACAAAATGAGCACCAGTGTGTTTTGTATCTGGACTGGTCTGTAGATGAAAGAAGACAAAGCACAACAGTGGAGTGTGCTAGTCCAACATAAAATGCGTCCCAGCAGGTTGGTAGTCCTAGTCCTTCTGCACCACGTGGAAGCGGTGATACCAGCTCACGTGCGGATGCTGCGTTTGCTGCTATTTTCAAATCTGCCTGGGAAGGAGGCAGTGGAATTGGAGGTGGCAGGGAACAGCTGTACATTAAACTTCCCAAACCCAAAGACACTTTTTTTATCCTTTTAAACTGCTGTGTAACACTTACCCTGAAGTTAGTTACTGAATTGTTCTTGATTTATAAAAGCTAAAATAGGATTAAGATGGCAGTTTAAAAAAGGAAATTAAGCTGCTTGATCTTTTCCAGAGAGTTCAGAAACCCATGCTTTTGTCTGAGGCTGTAGTAAAAACATTTAGTGCTTAACTTGGAAAGGATCTCAGATACCAGTAGTAAGCTCCAGAGTATAGCTGAATGACTTAAGGAGACTTGCATGGAATAAATAAGATTTGTTTTCTGTGACTGTCATTAGGGTTGGCTGGAAAGGATTATCGTAGACGACTCAAAGCAGATGTTCTCCAGTAAACTTCTGAGTGAATTAGTCTGTGTGCCAGTCAATCTTCACAACATGGGAATAGCATGGGATGGTTTGAAATGCCGTATAAACTATTCTTAGCCGTTTTCTGCAGGCTCCTAAATGCAAGGTCCTGGGGTTGCTTCATGGAAGTTCTTGTTTTGGGGTGGTAGTAATGGGTTGCAGCGTGAGCAGGCAAAGGCAAATAGAAACTAAAGGGATGTGCAAGTTCCTGAGACACTGACTTACGCAATTGTGCTCTTAGCTGGTGTCTGAAGAGAGCGAGGTTGCCAAACTCCGTTGTCCCACTCCGCTTTATGTCGCTTTGCCTACCAGCTGTGTAGCCAATAAGCATTTTTTTTATAGCAGCTTGCGTTAATAAATTATCATTTCTGGTGCTGCTCAAAGTAGGATGATGCCCTGGTAGGTTTTGTAACTTCGGTCTCATGTCAGTTATGTGACAATATATCAATTTTATTAAGCCAGTAACAGATGGTTTAAGGTGGAGGTACTGGTGTGCAATGCTGATGTGCTGCTGTTATCGAAATAGGTGTCTTCACATTGAATAGATGATACTCGAAGCGTTTTGGGGAGGTCGTCTTGTTTTCATCATAGTGTTTAACTATACCGCAAGAAACTTCAGTCTATGTTATTTTGAAATAGGTGAATATGATTTTTATTATAAGCTTCTCTTTACGGCAGGTTGGGTGAAGCATTCCAAGGAAACTACACAAAACTACTGGGGAAGGGTGGAGAAGTTGTTGAACCTGCCTGAACATTTTATTTTTATTTTTTTTTAAGAGCCACGCGTCCCTGCAGGTCAGAAAGAAGGGAAAATGAGAGGAGCTTCTTGCAGTTATCTCGAGTGTGAGCCTTCGTGCTCCTTGCAGCAGTTGCTTCAGTGCGACAGCATGTTTTCAATTGGTTACAAATGTGTGAAGAATCTGAAATGGGTGTTTTGTGTTTTACCAGAAGTTGAGCGATCAGCACAGACTCAGCGGTGTAAGGCTGCTTTCACTGTCTTAATTGGCACCATGTGTCCCTCAAAGGAGGGAATGAAGTAAGTCTGTCAGTCTCGGTGTAGACCTGGACTCCGGTAGGTGATTTAGCATTCGGGGGCATCCGTGTGTGTGTACTTGGGTATATTGAAACAAAGGCAAAGCTGTTACTGGAAATTCCCTGACCAATGTCATCTTTCTGTAGGTGTGTGTATATACGAGCATATCACTTTCCCCATCTTGACCTTTTGATAGAATAATGATCCTTTTTTGCTATCAGTTTGTCATTTAGATAATGAATATTTGGGGATTACCAGTAACTGCAAAAATAATTGTACCAATTATTGATGTGTGCAATACACAGAGCCTTTTTGCACCCTGGTAATTCATAGCCTACAATATGTGTTGGGAAGGAGGGTATCATGTTTTGCAAGTCTAAAAATGTTTGTCTGGAAACTCCCAGAATTGAGCACTAGCTATTCTAAGTGCTCTGGTTCTAGAAACTGAAAAAAAAAACTGGTGTTATGTATTACCTAAACTGTGATTTAAGTAGGCACTGAGGGCAGTGCAAGGATCAAAACATGAAAGAAAGTCAGCGCGCTGAAGTGAGATAGTAAGAACTAAAATATGTCAAAATACGTGCTATTGCCGCTTTAAAGCTGAAGCGGAGTTTTACTAGACCTGACCGGACGGTAGGGCTTTAACTATCTGCAGAGGCTGTTGTAGTTCAGTGAAGAGAAGACCATGACAAATTAATGCATCTTTGGTCTGAAGTTGGTTTTACAACCTGTAAGAGTTATAATCGTTCAAAGCCTGCGTAGTCTTTAAACTTAAGTTTGATAGAAGTAAGTCTAAAAATGGGGCAAAGTGTTTAACTGACAGCTTTAGCCAAGTATCTCCAACGTCAAGCAGTCCTGCTGTGACGGAAAAAACATTGTCTATGCACAAGATTTTCTGAAAGGACGAGACTTCAGCTCCTGATTCTCCTGTTGTATCTTAATAGAAGGGTAGAATGGACTTGAGAAAGCAAATTCTTACAAACTTGCAGTCTTCTTAAAATGAAGGCTCTTGCAGCAGAGTGTGTGGCTGGGAGGGTGGGACTACCCGACTGTGCTCCTGAGAAGACTTGAGGATAATGCGGGATCCCTGCAGAGGTTCTTGCTGCGAGATTTTTCTCAGATGCAGTTCACGTCCAGTTGAGTCACAAATGAAATTGAGCAATAAATGAGACTGTGATTCAAGTTTTCCTTTGCTTATCTTTTAATTCTACCTACAAAGGTGAATTAGAAATTCCAGGTTTTGGTGCTCTTAACATCATCAGGTAGTGGAAATACGATCTCTGTGTAGTCTGGGGGTTCTTAGAAATTATTAAAATCACACTTGCGCTTAACATCTACAGATTGTGGCAACTGCTTTTGTGCGGAGCTTACTCATGCATACCGAAATGTTGCAGTGAAGCCCGTCAGAAAATCTGATACATGCTTTGTTAACGTAATGTGTATTTCTGCAGTTACTCCTCACCATCTTAGGTGTCGGGAAATACAATTCTAGAATGATTGTGGAGTTTTTAAGGTGGCTGTTCAGGAGCTGTGGCTGTGTCCCACGCCTGGTCCGTCTGGTGCTGGGCGATGGTCTGAGGACACCTACTGGGCACAGCGTTTGCTTCATCTCTGCGTTTAAACTTGGAGGAGTTCATACCTGGGTTTTTAGACTCTTGGTGTGTAGCTACAGGGAGCATCAACGTTTTGAACAAAATCGTAGAACGGTGACTTGTGTAAATCAAAAGCAGTGCCTAGAGGAATGAATGCAACGTTTCTGATTTGACTCGTTGCTGCTCCTGGTCCGCTTGGCACTTGCGTTTCCAGCTAGGCTGTAGGACAGTTAACTAATACCGTGGCTGGGGGCTCAGAACTTCGCTAGTAAGTCACACTGGTTTTATTGCTAATGTTTCCTTTAGCTTTACATAAGAGGAGTATGTTTGTTACAGCTCCTGCAGTTTCCAACTAGGTCAGTAAAGTGTCCTTGTCCCTATTCTTTGAACAATCAGCTCCCTAAAGCCAGACAGTGTGATAGTAATTTTGTGATTAATGCTTCCAGCAATTATAAAGTGGAAGGTCTTAAATTACATTTGATAACTAAGACCTGTACATGAAACATGAAGTGACTTTGTCTTCCTTGTTGCAGATCCATAACATGGTGGCAGTGCTGGAAGTGATCTCCAGCCTGGAGAAATATCCCATTACCAAAGAGGCACTTGAGGTATGTCACCCTCTAAACATCGCTTGATTTTTGTGTGTATAAAAGGACTTTCTCTGCCTATCTAATTTCCATAAGAGCTTTTCTTGAAACAATAGATTGATTGCAAAGGATTCACAATTAAGATATTATTTTGTCCCCCTCGTGCTGCTTCTGACATCTCGGTGCATACACAGTGATTCTTTCTGGATTCAGATCAGTATTCTGTGCAGCACAGTTCCTGTTTGTGTAGGGCACTAAATTAATCATTACTTGCTACCAATTAATTCTGTTGCGCCCAGCAACATCACTCTGCTTGCTGAAGTACTGATCGCCTTTTTAGATGTCTGGTGACCAAGCACCAAAGAATCTGAAATAGGAATATAGTTACTCTGTGTCCGTAAAATTAATCTTAAATTCAGTTAAGCAGGTTTCGATGCCTGATGTAGCTGGTGAGATGAGGTGTATTAAAAGCTGAAGCATCAGGTGGGATTGCAGCTGCAGCCTCACTGGCTGCTCTTAGAAACAGAGCCCAAAGAACTCTTTATGGCTAAATTATGAAACTTTTCTCAATCTTTATATTGAAATTATTGGTATTACTTGCTTTTAACTATTGCTTAACTATAACTCCAGCTGTATTTCGACGTATGTATCACAACATGTTGCATATTTCTGTCACAGTCCGGTCTACGTTTTCCTTTGAAGTGCTTTTCTTGAGTAATCTGACTTGTGGAACAATTCTTTGTTTTCAAATGTGCTTTGGGAACAGTCAAACACTTCTCTTCCTTCTGCTTACGAAACCACTTTGGGACACCCTAGGAATGCTTGTTTAAATCGGTCTTTCATGCCCTTTCGAGATACTGGGGAGTGAAGGGAGAGGAGAGATGGAGGAAGAAGGTAGGACGTAAGTCGCACCCTGGCTAGTCGGGTTTGTGAAACGGAGATTTTTAGTGTCAACGTATTACGTCCTGTAATAGGCAAAGACCCTGGAATTTTTTCTCTTGCCTCTTTCTGCAGATCTTATACTTTCACTGTGATAAACGCGCACCTTTTCTGCCTTGGGTGCTGCATTTCCCCTCCAATCTGAACTTGCACCTTTATTCTCAAGATTCTTGCTGATTAAAGAATTCCTTTCTGATGTTTTTCACAGCTAACGGCTCTGGTGCTTTAGCCAGGGAATAAGGACAGGGTGACTTGAAACCTACAGCAGGTTTCACGTTGCGTGGCAGAGCACTGGACCGACTGGAGTAAAATCCTTTCCAAACAGATTAATTCAACACTTAAATCTTTAGTGGTTTTTAACTAGGTATTTCTTAGGGTAAGCGTTACAAAGCAGAAACGTACCTTAAGAATTCTGTTCAGAATGATACCTCTTTGTAAAACAACTTTTCTTTCTTTCTAGGAAACGAGACTTGGGAGGCTTATCAATGAGGTGAGGAAGAAGACATCCAATGAGGAACTTGCCAAACGTGCCAAGAAATTGCTGCGGAATTGGCAAAAGTTGATAGAACCTGTAACCCAGAATGAACCAGTGCCAAGAGGGTTGCCGAATCCACCCGGATCAGCAAATGGTGGTGCTCACAACTGCAAACCAGAAGCGCAACTTCC